AAGCAGTGGTATCAACGCAGAGTACTGTGCTTTGTATGAACTATTTCTTAGTAAAATAACGGCCTTTAACGGCTTATAACTTCGCCTCCATAGGCGCTAAGCAGATATGGAATGCAGATTCGAAGTCAGCTTTTTATGCTGCGTCTAATGGCATGCAGCTTATTTGGACTGTCACTTCGATTTCCGACCATTCCCTTGTCTGATTTTTCCTTCAGAGCAAATGCTGAAATCAAACAAATAATTCTCCTCATTATCATCTTCATGTATCTTATATGGATTTAAGCAGTGGTATCAACGCAGAGTACTATTTGCAGTTCTACTCCAAAAATAATGTTACATGAGCGCAAGAGACGTTAAAAAACAACAATTTTCTTCACGAAAAATTACGAGTCTGTCGCATACAGGATCCACCGCATCGCGTTCCAAGGCAAAACGGACCCTGCTTGGATTTTGGATAGATCCCCCAACCCCCAAAGACACTGTAGCTCAAACCCTGTCTGTCAATTCATGCGCTAAGCCCTGAAGTGGGCTTCAAATCTCCACCGAACCCGCCCACTTATTGGAAGTGGGCTAGGCTGATGGAGTTCAGAGCGCATTTTTCAGGACTTAGCACATGATATGGCAGGTGGGGTCTGAGCTACTGTGCACTTGGGGGTCTACTGCCTTAGTCCACCAAAATCGAGAAGATCCATAATGCCGATCCACTTTTAAGGCTGTAGCAGAGATAGTAATCTCCCGCAGTGGCATTACCTTCATAAACTTTAGAGGAAGCAGCATTTACTATCCTCCTTTGACAAGACAGCGTAAACCTAATGATAGAGTGAACAATCATAATTTCATTGTTTAATTGCATACTATACCGCTTATTATACAGTCCAGGAGCACATTCACAGCTTTGATATATAGAACAGGGTGTACGTGTATGTAAGCATCGTCGGTGGCACTCAGTTCTTACGAATTTTCTATATTTTGTTCCCGGTAGGTCACTCACAAGGAAAGTTTGCTTGGTGAAGTGGCGATTCGAAAGGTGATGTATACCTTCTATAGCTCTAAGCCTGCGGAACGCTTTTTTATAAGAAGTTAAAGGCTTTTTTGTAGTCGTATCGGAAATGTGATCTAAAAAAGACGCCTGTGAATAATAACATCGATGGGCAACACTCGAAAACCTTCAGATTATATCAGAAAACTACAATGCTCATTATGGCCTTGCCTAAATCTGCATACGTTTATGTGAAAAATACCGTAATTTTAAGGCGATAGCATTTTTCAGAAGAGCTCATCGCAGATATAGAAAGTATACCTGGCATCAGCTTTCGAAGTTCTATTTATGTGTACGCATCTCTTCCGAATCGCCACTTCGACTTAGGGAAGTTCTCTTGTCAGTGTTTTCCGATCACAACATGCGCACTAATCAACTGCTGCTATAAACTGACTGCCTATCGTGGCCCAAAATACCGTAACTTTGATCGTGTTAACTGAATAGTGGGCTCCGAAGTTGTTTACGCTAAACGAAGATTACGATACGATAAAAATTTGCGTACTTCTGAAGCATGCGTCTTTTTTCACAGATTGTGAGCTGCATATAGCTGAACACATTGGCGATTACATTTCTGATTTGTAGGAGGGAGAGAATCGAGTGGTCTTTTGCGAAATGAACCGTTTCAGAGTAAAAATAAATCGATGTTTATTGTCACCATGAAACATGGCATCCAAAAACAAGAGTTGTCGAATGAGCAGGACTCTATAACGCAGTGCGTTTGAAAAATTAGCCTACAAAAGTCAATTATCTGCGCGAAAGACTTTGACAGCATCTTATATTTTTGCACGTTATTCCAAAAACAGCAAGAACGAACACGGTTTTCTTAGCTATAAATTGTCTGTACGTACATAAGCAGTTACGTGTTATTCACACTGCTCATGTGTCATCACACTCGAATGGCTTATCTAAAGCAGTTGCACACTGCGACATCGGTAATACACTGGTGAGTACAAGTCATAGCCCGGCCTGCTTTTTCCAAACTAGACGAATTGAGTATGGAAGGGGGAATAGTGACTGACACTTTTCAAACCTCTAACGACGGCGTGTAGCCGAAACGAAAGGACGCAGAGTCTGCCACCATGAAATCCCCACAGAAAAAATGCTAGAGTTATCTACCAGCCCAGATCTCAAAATAAGAGGACTTTCAAGAAGCAACGGTTCATTTCAAACAACACATCTTACACGCAGCAGTGCAAGCTTAGGAATGACATGGATGATGGTTTTACTACTCAAAAGTTCAAGTATCTTTGGCAAGTGTGATCCACTTCATCACGCTGAAGGATGTAGCACACGAAGCCACTAGGACAGTTGACTGTAGAGTCTCCAGCTTCATACAGGGTGCAATCCGCTCCTTCCTGCAAACAGTAATGTGTGATTAGAAGTCAATTCATGTAATTCCAATTTTATCATTCAAGTAGTTAAACATCTTTTATGTCAACATTCGTAGGAGAGGGAAAAGTGAGAGAATTAGTTTCAAAATCAACGTTTGACGACAATTACCGTCAAGTTTACTCTTAGCGATACCTTGGACATACTCAACAGATAAGCATTGCCTAACGCAGTCTCTCAGAGGCTACAACTTTGCTAATACAACCGCTGTTACGGTCCAATAATTGTTGGTGATGGATGAAAATAGTTTCTACAACTTTTACAAATCTTCGAAATCCATTTTGATTATCTGCATGAAGATCAGGGCACCTGCACAATTCAGTGATTCATGTAGGCCGCAGTTTTTGCGTATTATAGTTGTGCAGTGAATACACTGCAAACATGAGCACACGCAATAAATAGAAATAGATGCTTGCACATGTAAAGTTTTGACAGGACACCAATTTGAATTATTTTTTGATACTACCGGTTCTTCCTCTGCTTATGGACTGTAGAAAATTGAGAGTGATGAAAGGAGCCTCTTATAACTTGTGACAGTTCATACAACTGACTTCTTTTTCCTTGTATGCAAGTGCAATGAAAGTCTTGTCTCTATGGCACGTAGCAAAGCATTCATTCTTGTCCTCGAAATATGTTCTGGCTGCAATGGTTCCACGTAGCTGCTCCACCTTGTCAAATACGCACGATGGAACTCTTCCCGCCTAATATGGAACAATCCCGAAATTTAGACAGGCTTGCGTTTGAAACTGCAATTTACCTGAATGACAAGAAGAAAGAGGGCTAGGCACTTCATCGCCAGGGAGGCTGTACCAAAATGCCTTCCAAACGCTCCACCTTTTAGTCTAGGGGCCTTAGATACCAAAAACAATGGCAGTAAAATTTGTTACTAGGAGACCTATTTGACACACCAAGATTTTGAGGAGGTGTCTTAGAAACAATACCTCAACCCTTATGGCCGACTTTAATTTCGTGATTGATGCAGGGTTACCTGAATATTTTTGACAGGCTGCTAAAGCAAGTATTTTACTTTAAATAGTACAAGAATATGTATGCACTCATAAGAATGAGTTTGTTTAGTCCGCCGTGCGAAAAATTGTATAAAATCTCTAATAATCAGAAACTCTCATCTTTTCGCTTCAGATTCGCTTAAATTTAAAAAAAAAAACAAAGCAGTGTAAATATAGAGCGACTGCGCAGTCCTATCAAAATTTTAGCCCACAATTCTTGACGGCCTTACTAGCTTTTGTAAACATATGTTCATCTAAAACCCCAGGTCTTCTTCTGGGATGTTTTGCCACATCAATTTCAGGCCATTTTTTGAAGCCAAGTATTATCAGAACAACTAGCAGAGAGAGAAAGTTTACTGCAATGTTAGCGATGGTTACTCAGCCACTGTCCCTTTTGAAACCTATGCTGTACTCCTCTGTTGCAAAGTTATTTCATATGAAAATGATTACGGAGAACATGACATGTTCCGGAGTTCGATACAGCAACGTATGATCTGTTTTATCACAATCTGATACAAAAATTGATTCAATCAATAGTTTGTTTACTGTTTTACTCTGTCTTAGGGATAGAACGAAACGGAGTTGAATGGTTTTTCTACCGGAGATGATAAAAATTTATTATTTCCTTATTGAAAGTTGATTAGAGATCTTCATCTTGGTAGACACCCGTGGCTGCTAGAAAGATGAGGAAATTCTACATCAAATCTCGTAAAAAAAGTTTCTTTTACTCCTGGCCAGGATACGAACCTCTAGTATCCTGGATGTAACTCTCCTTTGAGCACTCTAACCAATGAACTGTTATGAGGGTGAAATCCTCCAAGTGAAGAATCCAAAATTTGTAGCTCTTTGAATTAAATAGGTCCATCATTACTTCATGTCGTCAAAATCTCGACAAACATGTATTTTCTAGACGGGATCCTTATGCGCTTTCAGAAAATTAATGTGGCCTTTCTGGTATTCTGAAGCGCAAATTTCGTATTTAGAATCAGCGACTTCGATTAGCCCACTTCAGAAGTTCCTGGATTGTTTGGCTTTCCTTGTGAAACAAGATAACGCTTTCAATGCCTGCCTTGAGTTCCTCCCCGAAGTTTCTACCGTTTCAATGCCTGCCTTGAGTTCCTCCCCGAAGTTTCTACCGTAATCTTGCAGTAAAGAAGAGCGACCGACGATTGCTCCACACTTCGAATCTATCTTAAGCCTCGCTCTATAGAATGGTATAGGCGATGTCACCCCTCATCGGTCGTGGTTGTCCAAGAGTTGAGGCTGCGCGCGCGGTAGCTGGCATGAATTCAGATATGTGACTCGATTCGCCTTGCTCTTTTCATTTCATTTCATTTTTCATTTATTCCTAGGGATAACCCTTTCGATTGTCATCTTGTCTTTTTCTGCGATTGACTTTTTTTGAGTGCCTTCATGTCTAATATTCGCTCTTCTAGCAATGAAATACTTTCAGGTTTCAGCTTCTACAAGGCTGGATCGAGGAAAAGTGGACTTTTTGCACTGACTACTCATGACAGATTATCAAGCGATGTTCGGATTGGTAGGTTTGGAGCTATTAGATTATCATTGCGTTGTTCATTGCAGTGTTTTCGATGAATATGTCTCTAGAGCACTGACTTCAAGTCTCCAACAATTCAAAAGGTTTCTACCGTCGGCCACGATGGTAGAAACCAACGTTTTGATTACGACTGAGGTATCATTGCACTTGAATTATTTTCATATGATTTTCCTTGTCTACTTTATTTTGTTATTTCTTTCTTTGCTTTCATTGGCTCCTTTTTACGCCGAGGAAACATTAACTAGGTAAAACTTGCAGTCTTTGCTGTTTGTCTCAAATGTGTAGCAAAGTATCTCGTTTTTGCGTAAGCAAGAGCATCATCCCTCGTTCGCTTCAATGCTTCATTCCAGCTGTCGCGACCTCTAACGCTTGAGAGGAGTTTTTAAATCTCTTTTGCAAGCAATTTGACAACCATTCTATCCGTTAACATCTCATCACCCAGATTTATTCATTTCATGAGCATCTAAAACGTTCGAAGAAAAGCATGTCCTACCACGCTTCTGCTTGAGTCTTTATCATGCAAACGACGTGACATCATCTGAAATCAACAGATTGCGACTACACCGAAAGAGATTGAATTTCCAACGGAGGAAATAAAAGGAAAAGCATTAAGTTTATCTAGGTCACAAGTTCAGCCACAGACGCTTCGGCCTCGAGTATTGTTTCTGTCGCCTGCGGCGCGCGCGCAGCCTCAGCTCGTGGATACCCACGACCGATGCGGGCATTGCCTATACCTCAAGCTGGGCAAAAGACATGAAAGCAGAAGAGTTATTAACGATCAAACAATGTTCCCAATTTTGGAACATCCTGTATATCAGTGACCTTTTCAGAAAAGTCAGTGTGAACTAATCAGCATGAACGCAGACTTAGACGATAGCTCAGTTACAAAACAACATTTCGAGCATCCATTTGAAAAACGCAGATAGGACTTTGCTGAAAAGGTCATGAACAATTTTTACAAAACACATGAACATACATCAAAACATGCGCTAAGTAAAGGTCTGTTTAGAAATTCTTATGAACGGAATAATAACCAAATGGATAAGAATTGCTCTAAGTTCTCTAAGAAATAACAGGCAATACTTATTTTCATATTTGACCGGTCCTCCTCTCTCTTTGTATTATAGCCCGCTAAACAGTCGTCAGCCCTCAAGTCTCTTTTTTCCTCTACTTCGCAGCACGGCCGTGTTTCTTTGAGGCTTTCATCTGAAACAGAAAAGAATCAACAAAGCTCAAGTGAAAAAAGAAACAGATACTGTTAGAAAAGGAAACAAAACAGAGAATCCTAGAAAATAAATGTCGCTTTGCCGGTTTAAGTGCTGTAGGACTGGAGCACACTTTCCAATTCTTCACGCTCCCGTACGAAAGCTATTTGGGGCTGTAGCAATGGTATTACTTTGTTTTTGGAAGCGAATTTTTGGTAGTAGTAACACTTTCAGCCTAGTTTACATTTTTGTGATGAAATCCGGAAAATCATGTGAGGATAAACAGGGAGCAGCCCCAGGTTGCCCCCAGGGCGCGGTAGCAACATAGTTTTATAGTTATAGCAACATAGCAACATAGTTCGGAAAAACAGTTACCATTCCTTGTTCACATATTCCAAAATTCTTTCCACACCTTGCTATCTTATCATGCACCAAATCTGGTGCCATATCGTTACCTAATCGTTGCAAACGAGCTTAATCTGTAATTTTCCTTCCAGAAAATTCCTATTTGAACTCCTGCGCGCTAGTGCTGTGATGTTTTGAAGTTGCTTGCGAACGTATGATGCGCAATAGGGCGCATCAACGGCGAAGGGAGGCGATAAAGGATACAATATAGGCGTCGGTAATAGTTGTAGGTGGAGACTAACTATCTATGAGGTGATATTTTTTCAAACTTTTATGAAAGTTAGTACCTGCTGGCAAGAAACTTTTCGTTTTTTTTGAGAAAAGGAGCCAAATAGCTTTGGTGTAGCATCTCGAAGCCACTTTTCCACAATCTAAATTTTGCTAACCTCTTCTCTGAAATTTCTTGACCTTCACCTAATAAGTGTATTAGGTAAATGAGGGGGGACGAGTGGCGTAGTGGTATGAGGCGCCGCTATGACCAGATCGGACAAAGGTTCGATCCCCGCCCCTGGGCCAACCAAGCCCTCTACCCTCCGGGGCCGGTAAATTGGTACCAGAGTAATCTGGGAGGATAAAAGCACTGACTTGGAAACGGCTGGCCCCCGCAAGTCACTGTAATAGGCTCGCACGCATACAATTGCCTCTTCGACTATGAAGTTAGTGTGTGCGTTCGGCGCATGCCCTCAAAGGGTATTGAAGACGCCGAATCCTTTATCCTTTTATCCTTTAGGTAAATGAGCAAATTTTTTGAATTCTTTTTGTCATTTCCATGTTTGCAAGGAAATTTTGCAGACGAAAATAATAATAGTTGAAAGATGTAGTAAGGCTTCCTCCTTGATAGCTGAATTACTAGCGTCCAGATATATGCAGGTATCCGCAATGTAGCATCATTCTTCAAGTTATTTTCTCCATTTCGTTTTCCTCTTGGAATTGCAAACATCATTTGAGAAGCAAAGCTTACGCCCCTGTGAGAGACTATAAAATTGTGATAACGACTCTTTAGTAGAAACTTTGATTCTCATATTTCGAATGGTAACTGAGTTTCGCGGAAGTGATAAAAATCATGAATCCTGACCTCCTTTCAGCTGAAGCATTGTCTACGAACATCATATGACTATTACTGCCTACCTTGTTAAGACACAAACTCCGAAAATTCAGAAGATATGAAAGCTTCAGCGTCATCAAAACTTTTTATTCAAAAACAACTTTTGGTATTCGGAATCTATCTGAAATGCACGATAAGCTTTTTTATCCATATTGAACTTCTTCAATTTTTTTCACTTTGAAGAATACGAAAAGTCAAGGAAAAACGACCCTAGCGTGCTCTATCGCAAGATCATGTTACACTCCGTCAATTTTCCAAACAAGTTAGAGTGTTGAAACACTTCCCCGAATTTTCTCATAAATGTTTAGTGCGTAGGGGTGCTGCATGTGCATCTCTCTCTCTTTTACTATGACACATCAGATTTTTCCGGGCTCCGCCCCTGACCACGAAAAACGACTTCCCCTTTGCTTTAGGGGGGGGGGGGGCAAAAACTATACCCAGCTTTTGAAAGCGCCACCTCCGCCGGGCCCTGTCTAGGGTTTCGCCTTTTCGCTATACACGATAGAGCATGTC